CTTTTGAAATGATGCTGAGGAATTCCAGCTGTGGTTGTAGTTTAGTCTTTTCTAATATACTGGTGTAGCTGCAGTGGGATCGTGTGTGTTAGAGAAAAACTGTTCACTCGGGAGTGTCGGGATGTCGTTGCAGACAGAGGAATGGCTCACTCAGAGGAGTCTCGACTGGCCAACCTCCTGCGCCGAGTCTCCAGGGAAGATGATCGTGACCGGAGGCTGGCTACAATCAAACAGCTGAAGGAATTCATCAGCCATGGCGAGAGCAGAGGGGTCAGTCACATTACTTTCCTGGTGTTTCAATCCGTGATAGCCAGCAACGTCACTATAGTCAGACTCACAGGGTGCAGCAAACTGTATTAGAATACATTATACGATGTGTTTACATATTTACTTCCCCCAGCACACACTGTAGGGTAAATGGACTGGTTCTTATAAAGCGCTTTTCTACTCTTCTGAGCACTCAAAGCGCTTTATACAACTTGTGCATTCACCCATTCACAAAAGCACATTTTTCTAAGTGTTTTCTAGCTAACAGTCACACACATTCATACTCCGATGGATGCATCGGAGAGCAATTCGGGGTTAGTATCTTGCCCAAGAATATTTGGCATGCAGACTAGGGGAAGCCAGGAATCGAACCACCAACCTTCCCTATCAGTAGATCAGCAGTAACCTGCTCTACCGCCTGACCTACAGCCACCCCACCTGACCAGCTACCTTATGACCACTTGGCCTGTTGATTTACCTTTCCCTAACGGTCCTTCGTAGGCTCTAGTACTCATGTATTTATGAATACGTCGACCCTCGGGCCTGTAACTGTGTTAAGATTAAACCCTAACGTCTCAGTTTTCCTGACTTTTCCTAAAATGGGCTTATTCATTAAACACACACACACCTCAACATTGAATGTTGAGGTGTGTGAGAACAAAGGACACAAACATTATGACTGCTTTTACCTGCAGCGCTGCAGGGGACTTTAGTTTTAACGTAAAACAACTACTGCCATACACTGAGTTGCCTAGCAACATGATTGTTTAGACATATTTTGATGGGAAGGCTGCTATAATATGAGCCTGAGCTAGCTAGATGTGACTGACACATAAAGGGGACTGTAATAAGTAATTACTGAGACTGTGTAATCCTAATGACTTCTGTCTTGTCTCCACAGACTCTGGTCAAACAATTGGACACCATCCTTAGCACTCTGAATGACATTTTAAATGAGAGGTAAGAGGATGCTGGGTGCGTGGGTTCATTGGCAGGACAGGAAGTTTCAATAACTCAGTAGAAATAGAAAGGAGATTAAAATATTCACATAAACTCAGACTGTTGCTCAGTGGCGCTGCCACAAGCGACCAATCGGATCATCATCCATTGGGCGTAAAACGTACAGCTTATTGCACCAGCAGCATCTGCTCTTATATAACTATCATTAGCTTACAGCTGGAAGTGTTTAAGGTCTGTGCTAACTAAAAATAAGACAAGATGATAGTTTATTAAACTTTTAATGTTTAACCGTTTATTCAGCTGTGTAAAAACTATAACTTTAATCTCAGCCAAACCGATTTACTCAGGAACAAATAAAACACTGAACAAAGCCAAACAATAACATTTTTAAGTTATCTAAGTGACTTATATATGTTTAACCTGAGTAGCAAAAGAACTCCGGGGG